GGAAATTCTGCCATTTGCGACAACAGGGATGAACTCTGAGGGCATTATGCTAAGTGAAATAAGTCAGACAGAGAAAGACAAACAGTTATGATCTCACTTATGTGTGGAATCTAAAAGAACAGAAAAGAAACAAAAAAACCCTGAACTCATAGAAGCAGAGAACAATTGGTGGTTGCCAGAGGCTGGGGGTGGGAGGTGGGTAAAATGGGTGAAGGTGATCAAAAGGTACAAACTTCCAGTTATAAAACAAGTAAGTCATGGGGATATAGTACAGCCTGGTGACTACAGTCAAGAATGCTGTATTGTATACTTGAAAGTTGCTAAGAGAGTAAATCTTAAAAGTTGTCATCACAGGAAAAAAATTTTTATTAACTTTGTGTGGTAATGGATCTTAAGCTGACATATTGTGGTGATCATTTTGTGTTTTATATATACACACACACACACACACACACATACACACAAAATCATTATGTTGTATACCTGAAAATAAGATATTACATGTCAATAATATCTCAGTTAAAAAAAAGAGGTTCGAGTGGGTATCAAAGCCTTGAAGGATATACAAGAAATAAATAAGTAGAGAAAAATAAAAAACTAAATAGTAAATTATATAACCTTTATAACATTTTTTATAGTATTTATTACTAAACCAACTTGCTTCTACTAGTGTTCCTCAACAGAAGACACAGTGTTTTCTCCTTAGGTATTAATCTCCATATCCAACAACACCAAGCAAATAAGAGGCAACCAGTAAACATTTGCTCATCAATCAATAAACAGTTCATTTTAATGAAAGCACACTTAATATTTGCCATGAGGATGGTTTACTCTTTCATAAACACTAAAACACTGAAAGAGGTGCCTTTTCACACACCTAGTAAAATGCTACTACATCAGTTCAATATGTTCACAGCCTGGCTCTGAATTATTTTTCAGTCTCATATCCTACCTCTGCCCTGTTGGTCGTGTACCCTGGCCACACCAACTTCTGCCTGCTCTCTAAACCCACCAGGCCTAGAGTCCTTCACCTACTGCACACTCCTACTCATCTTCCAAAACCAGTCACCACTTCCATGATGCTTCAAGGGAGAATTAATCCTTGTATGCGCCTCTCACAGCACTATGTTCCAACCTCCCTTACCTAGTGAAACAGACTATATTATAACCACCAAATCCCTCTAGGAATAAAGGTACCTAAAACAGAGGCTCATTCATTTTGATAATCCGAACGATACCTATCACTGTACCTTGTAAACAAGAACAAAATCATTGATGAATGCTAAGAAGAGAAAACAATAAATGTCATTCAAGCATTCTCTGATAACCTGGAAATCTATGTGTATGTGAGCACACACAAAAGATCACTATGAACTCATAACCACTAGACTAAATGGCAAGTATGGCTCTGCAAAAGGATTGATCATTTTTATCAGAAATACTTGCAATAAGGTCCCCTTTAAAAATAAACTCTGAGTATAAAATTATCCATTTTGTTACATGACTTTTCAGAACCACTTTAATACAAACCTAGATATATTTCTGACTGGCAACAAGACTATCATGAAGTCCAAATTAGACAGCCAAAAATTCAAATTTTAAAAAGCAACCATTAGTAATTAAATATCACAATCACCCAAGAACCCTCTGAATCTGATTTCAGATCTCTACATTTTCTAAAGCAAGTGTTTATTTTCTTTCCTCCACCACTGTCTGTGTTTTAGTCTATCTTTTGTGCAAGTCACTTTGTAAAATGCTTCATTCAATCATCTCTTAACCAAATCACTTGTGGAAGGTTTAAAGAACAACATGCAACAAAGTTAACATTTATTATCAGTTGTGCCAGAATGTGAGTCAGATACATGTTGTAAAAATTCAAATACAACAGGGCACAGAGCTGACTTGATCTGCATAAAGTCTTTGTCAAGTTAACTGTGAGCTATACATAGAAATTGGAAATAAATGAATTTGAAATTCTAAGATAAATCTTTCTTCATTTTAGTAGTTAACAATGTTAATAGCCACAATTTAATGAGCACCCACTATTCACCAGACATTTCACATAAATTCTCCCTGATCTATCCAAAAGCCCTTAGAAGAAATCTAAGCCTGACGTTAAAAGGATAGCCAAGGTTACACAGGTAACAAGTAGTGGGATTCAAATCCAAATCTGAATGGTTCCAAAGATTAAAACCTAATTCACTTCTATGCCAACATTGTGTAATACTGAAATATTAAACCAAATTTCTACATGTCTCTTTGCTTCTCTGAACAGCTGAAGAATAAATGGTTTAATGTATATCTGTTTCTCAGTACCTTCTTAGCACTGCAATAATCATTCTGTGAAGCATTACTAAGACTCTATGCTTTGTGAAGTCTATGCTTTGTGAAGTCTATGCCTTTTGAATATGTAAATTAATAAAGAAAACCTCAATTAAAGTTAGAGTTGGCAATGGCCTGTAAAGGGAGGTCTCATGCATTCTCACACTCCATTATTTGCATGCACTGACCTTCACTTTCGTGCCCCACTGGAAGAAGCACACCCTGCACTCTCAAACAAAAAGTGCAACTACTTTACAATCCCAAAGGAAGAATTTCTCCTTGCTCAGCAACAGCCCAGGCAATGAGAAACATCTCAGCTCCGCAAATGAAGTCATCACCACCCTAAACTCCTACTTTCCTCCCTTGAACTTTCATTTAGAACAGCCCCTCCCAACTCCCTCCTTTTCCCTATAAAAACAGGCTCCCTTTTCTTTGTTCTCTGGACTTACCTACAGTTCACCATAAACTGCATGTCCCAAATAGCAATTCTTTGCTGTTCCCGAATAAACCCATTTTATTGTTTTAGAAGTCAACAACTTCTACTTTAATAATTCTATATAGTTAAACTGTTTTGAATAGCACACTACAGTAACTTTCTTATACTGGTCTAAACGCATACCTTTTCAGAGAAGTTTCAGCATTATGTTACCTAAAACTACCAACTACTTTCTCTCAATGCTACTTAGAGGTAACCTCCACAGAGCTTAGCTTTTAGGTATTAAATGCTCTGAAACTAGCCTTAAAAATAAAGGAATGAATTAAAAGGGGCTCTTTAAATATTTGATTAAATACCAGGTGGTAACATCAATTTCAAGTATGAATTCCATGCTGGTGAAGGAAAAAAGAGTTTCAATTCAATAAAAATTCTGTTCCACCAGCTCTGCAAAATTTCATGGCTCATCTGCATTCTCTTAAAGCTTCTTCACTGATGGTACTTGTTTAGAAAGGATCAAGAGCCAAGTTTAATATAGGAATTATTTAATTATGTTTAAGACAGTTGTATGTGGCTACTTACTCTGGCATCAAAATAATTAGCATTAAGATCAAAGGCTTCTTGCATGAATCCAGAATACAAACTTGTTTGGATTTTATGTCGTGGAACCATAGAAAGAATCCAGTAAGTCAACTTTCACTGAATTTATTTATGCCTGTCATTTCCTTTGGGGCAAATTCATTTTACAGGCTGCTGGCAAAATAAGAGACTCAAAACTGGTTGGCTTTTATTGTTTGGTATTAACTCTTTAAGCAGCAGCCACAGAGCTGAAGCTAATTCAGCCATGTTGCTGGTTCAAGCCAAAAGCATTTATGACCACAAGCCAAAAGCATTTATAAAATCAGTTGATAGGAAAGAGATTAACTGCTATTATGATGTTGCTCCTGAAGCTAGGAACTAGAAAACCTCGATGAATTATGATAATTAGAATACCTCAAAAGCAGAGAAGAGCTACCAGCTACTTTCTGTTCTTTACTAACCTCGCAACAAAGTTTTATTTTTTTAAAAAATTTTCCACTCATCCCCTTGTGCTACGACTGTTTTATTATTACCATCAATGAAATCTGTAAGAACAGCTGTACGTGTTCACAGAATTTCTTAGGGATGAAAGGAGATTCCAAAGATCATCTAATGCAACTAACTAACATCCAAAGAGTACGTTCCTTTTGTCATATCCCCACTAAGTAGCCAATGGATGGAACATCTTCTACCTATTAAAGCAGCCCACTCCATCTTTAGATGAATCTTGTAGAGACATTTTATTCAGTAAATAAATCTGTCTCACTATTGCTTCTACTTTGTTGTACCCTTAAAAGTCATGAAAAACAAATCTAACTCTTCTTTCATATGAAGTCCTTTGAGCATCTAAACAGAGTGACTCTTTCTCCAGCTACCCCCATTCCTTCAAATGTTCCCAACATGAAATGCTATTAAGTTCCATGTCTATGTTGGGCAAGCTTCAAAAATTTTAATATGTGTGCATATCTAAAATTATTTTAATTTTTAAAAATATTATATAAAACTGTGAGTTACCAAAACATATTAGTTATCAACTTTAAATGAGTTGATGCTCATTCACAGCAAAATCTTCCTCATAAATGTGTATATTTATACTAAAACTCAATAAATTTAGTCAGACACAAGACTGTTTTTATACTATTTAAATAATTAATTGCCCTTAATTGTCTCTAATGTATACCAGTGAAATGTTCACATGAAAGGCTATTTGATAACTAAGATTTTAATAAACATTTAAAGTAACTTTCTACAGAGTTTGGGAGCTTTGTTCTATAGTTTATTTGAATAACAGGATGAATTATATAGTTCAAGTAATATAGATGATGATCTCCCTTCCATAACATTGACAACTTTCACCTAAAGTCATACAAACAAACAAACAAAAAGTAAAAAATTCTGAATTTTTTAGCCTAAGTCAGAAACTCTGAACTTTAAAGGCATTTTAGTCATCTGATTTCTGAAGGTCCTCAGATGGACTGAATTATCTATTTCAAGATCCTCACTTTCAATGTCAGTAGGAGTTATCTATAACATTTCACATGTCCTTAGCTTAAATAGTGGTTCATTAAACACTCATCTGAGTGCTGGCTACACAGACTGTTTTGAAAGGTTAACATATCCAAAGTACAATGACAAAGTTATTAAACATTCATACACAATCACTTACCCAAGACTCATGGTATAAAACTGTTAGTAGATACATTGCATAATCATAATTCTGTCTCTTTAAGGGGCACCTTTAAAAGACAGAGAGAGGAAGTCAAAATTCTAAAAATTCAGTACATGGAAAAATTTGCAAAGTATACAAATACAAAGGATAACTCATATTCAGGAATTCCGTATCTGACTTAGGAAAATTCCATTATTGGAATAAAAATGATCTATGTAGTTTATGACTTGAGGATATTGAACACTGATGTTATTTTTACTTTTATTTAGAGGATATATTTGCTTTCATCACTAACAAAGTTACTTATATCTGATAATAGTTTTACACTATTTTTAATATGAATGTGTCCAATCCAAGTGTCCTTCACGATCTCAGGGCTAAGTGTCTGCGATGGTGTGAACATACCTGCTGAGTTCATTTAAAGAATACAGAGAGACTGATGCTAAGCTAAATGTTCACCCTGATTTCCCCAGAGCTGATTCTTTTAAAAATGAGCTACACTACACAATGCTATAATTTTTTGCTATCATATTTAAAATGAAACTAATGACCTAATATTAGATAAAATTTCTACATAAATAAGAGCTGGCATTAACTTTTAGGCTAATAAAATAATATAGAAAAGGAAATAATTACTTCTAATTTCTTTAAATATAAAATTATATGAAAATTGACTTTAACTGGACTCTGTTTATTCTGTACTTAGGTTTAATAGTCCTCTATTCTATTAAGTTGTTACCATAAAACATACACACACACACACACACACACACACACACACTGACACTTATAAACTTAGCAAAAAAAAATTATCAGAAACTTACAGAATTTCTAACAATAACATTTTAAAAGTATTTTTAAAAATTGCACAAACTAAAAACATAGCATTATTTCACATTCTCTAAAGCTAAAGCTAGCAAAAAGATATTATTCATAAATTTCACATTTATTTCTCCTATATGGTAATAATCTAAAATCACGGTTCCCAAGCTTTTCCCACCTCCACACTGTTGCCATCTCTGTATGTCATGCTACTTCTTTATACCACTAAGAAGCAGAACATAAAACCTAATTGATATTGACACCTCCAAATGCTTTGAAATTAAGATAAGGAGGGAGAGAGGATATCTGCCCACTTATTTTTCTTTATATTTTGACATAATTTTGAAACAACCAAAGAATAATTCTAGAAATAAAATAACCATTTAGCAAAAACATACCAATAGCCTTTCTTTACCTCAAATGACCTAATTTATAAATTCATATACAATAAATTTAATACTGCTTTTACAAACTTCTACGCTAGCACTGAAATTCTGCTTATTTACAAAAATGCCTTGATAAATTAATTTCCATATTTAATAATTTTGATTTTGAAATATAAGATTTCTATACTTTGACTTTGCAGAAACCTGTTTAAGTATTACTCACTGGCAAGTCATTCTTTCGTTTCCGTCTAACATCTTCCCTGAGTTTTACATACACAAATATATTAAAAATAACAATTTAACTCAGCTAGGCAAGCCTCTCCATGCACATAAAGATCATAGCAACAGGAGGCTAGTGTGAGGATATTAAAAATATGAATGAGACAACTTCTCTGACCTAACAGGTTAATACAAGGACTGCCAGGGGACTGGAGGACAATAAAGCAACACATGTGACAGATCTGCTGAACTTTTCTTCCTTTACCTATCTGTCTTGATGGTAAGCACATCTGTGCTCTTGCAGTATCGATCTCCTACAAGTTTAATAAGTTTCTTCTTTGCGTGATCATCTAAATTCAAACTGGAAAGTTTAACCTTAAAAATACAAGAAAAAAATTTTTTTAATTACTTTATAAACTTTGTATAATGAGAAAACAGTGGGAAAATTATTTATACTAACATTAAAAAAGAAACCAAAAGAAACTTTATCAAACTCCTTCCTTTACAGAATTAGTAATTCATAAGTATCATGAAGCCTGATCTTACTCATGGAAAAAAAAAAGCGGGAGCAAAGTGTTTGGAGTTCTTTGAAAGTTCTGGGCATTAGTACCTTTCCTAAAAGAACCAATGACATGTCTCTTAAATAAATGAAATGACAGTGCTTATGAGTATTACTAACTAGTAGAATTCAACTCAATTAGTGTCAGTAAAGCTGTTTATAAAAATAAATGGATGGGGCTTCCCTGGTGGCACAGTGGTTGAGAGTCCGCCTGCTGATGCAGGGGACACAGGTTCGTGTCCTGGTCCAGGAAGATCCCACATGCCGCAGAGCGGCTGGGCCCGTGAGCCATGGCCGCTGAGCCTGCGCGTCCGGAGCCTGTGCTCCGCAACGGGAGAGGCCACAACAGTGAGAGGCCCGCGTACCGCAAAAATAAAATAAAATAAAATAAATGGATGAAACATAGGGGCTTTAAGAATTTCTACCATGCAATTATGAGACCCATATCACTGCAACAGTTTAGGGGCTTTTATTTTATTTATTTATTTTTATTCTTGGCTGCACTGGGTCTTTGTTGCTGCGTGCGGGCTTTCTCTAGTGGCAGCGAGCGGGAGCTATTCTTCGTTGCAGTGCGCAGGCTTCGCATTGTGGTGGCTTCTCTTTTGGAGCACAGGCTCTCGGTGTGCGCACTTCAGAAGTTGTGGCATGCAGGCTCAGCAGTTGTGGCATGCGGGCTCAGTAGTTGTGGCTCACGGGCTATAGAGCACAGGCTCAGTAGTTGTGGCGCATGGGCTTAGCTGCTCCGCGCATATGGGATCTTCCCCATCCAGGGATCAAACCCATGTCCCCTGCATTGGCAGGCAGATTCTTAACCACTGTGCCACCAGGAAAGTCCCAGGGGCAATTATTTTAAAAGCTACAGATGTCTCGTGGAAGCTAGAATACAACATCCATGAAGGGTCAAAACATTTGAAATAATTCAGCTCAACATTTCTCAAAATGTTAATACTAGTCCCACAGGCTGCTAAAAAGAATGATTTCTTTAAAAAGGCTGTTTCTATTGAGTCCATTTAGGAAATGTTGAGTTAAATGGGTTCTTCACAGCAGGATTTCTTAGAGGAGGCAACATGTTAAAGAGCATGCTGAATTTCAAGATGCAGCATTGTTATGTAATAATTCCAAAATTTATTTAACCTCAGATTCTACTTTTCAAGGGACAATTCATGAAATTAGTCTTCCTTAAAACATATTTTGGAAAATGCTGGAATAAATGAACATACTTTTTAATTGGCAGAGAATTATGGCTTGGGCTGAAAAGTATTATCTAGAGATGAATAGGACTGATCCAGGAAAACAGGTTAGAGACTACAATACAGGTAAATAAGGTAAACAACAGACTAGTTTTCCATGGAGAGCATTAAGAATAAGCAAAAATCAGAACTGTATGAAAAGGTTAAATAAGATTTTGAAATCCCACCTACTTCTGCCCTCTAGCTTCAATAACCCTGCATTTCACTCAAGACAACCATAGCATAAGAGCTTATTTATTTTCCCACTAGACTGCAAACCCTTGAGAGTAAGAACAATAATTGTCTTGTTCCTGGCAATGACCTAGCACCTAAAAAGCATGCAACATGTTGGCTGAATGAATACATAAATTTTAAAAAGGGAGGATATGTTGTTTCTTTTTTAAGCACAGTGAATTTTTTTATTTGGATAGAAAAAATAGGAAATAAAAAAATAAATATAAATGCACTCAAAGAACATTAGTAAGAACACTGATATTAAATATCAATCCCACAGGTAGGCATGTGAAATTACCACAGTTCCCTGAAAAGAATTTATGTCAACAACCAGTTATTAGCTTGATGGATAAAATAAGCAGTTTTATGATGACTCTGATTGTTAGCAATATGGACAATTACCTATAAGAAAATCATAAAACGTACCTACGTTATGATTATAATTATGAAAATGTATGTATATCTGCATGCATACAGATACAGTACAGAGAAAGAAATAGATTTTACATTCAGATACTAAACAGGTAGTGATTTTCCCTTTTAAAACTCTTTCAATAAAATCATGATGTTTAACAATACATTTAAAAATTTACCATTTAAAAAATTTGTGTTCTAGTTTTTTATGTAAGAAGCAGTCAAAAACATGTGGCAGCAATGCTGATCATTACTGTGGCAATTGTTTTAAAACTCATTCTTCACATTAATATTTTAATGGTCAAAAATTATATAGTTTTATGCCAGAAGCTCAAAATATTGCAGAAACAGCTGTGCAGTGCACTCACGCCACCTGCTAGCACTCAAAGGCACTGCAAAATTGTAGTCTTTAACCTGGACTAGTATTCTTACATTTAAGTTGAGTGACATTTATTTGTCATTCTTTTTCCAAAATTCAAAAGAATCCTTAGGGTTTCCCTGGTGGCGCAGTGGTTGAGAGTCCGCCTGCCGATGCGGGGGACACGGGTTTGTGCCCCAGTCCGGGAAGATCCCACATGCCGCGGAGCGGCTAAGCCCGTGAGCCATGGCCACTGAGCCTGCGTGTCCGGAGCCTGTGCTCTGCAACAGGAGAGGCCACAACAGTGAGAGGCCGGCATACCACACACACACAAAAAAGAATCCTTAGACTTTACTTTTTTCAAGTTACTGTATTTTAAAGAGTCAACACTGTACTATGAACATTATCCCCAAAACAACGTTCACATTTCTAATCATAGTTATAGGTGTATCTTCAAATGTCTCATTTAAAAGAAGTACATAAATTGAAAAATGTCTAAATGTGTAAAATATTTTCTTCATTTACAAGAATATGCAGTTAATTAAAGAACTATGGTATTACACATAAGACAAGAATTGGGTTTGATGTCTAGATTTGCTACCTATCAGATAAGTGACCTTAAACAAATCATGTGATCTTCCTGTCTGTTTCCTCATTTATAAAATAGAAAGGATTCACAGAATTTTTGTCAGGAATAAATGAGATTAAATAGAAGAAAGCACTTTTTCTTTTTGTATTTTCTCATCTTTTTTTAAATTTTCTTTTATTTTTAACATCTTCATTGGAGTATAATTGCTTTACAATGAATGGCGTGTTAGTTTCTGCTTTATAACAAAGTGAATCAGCTATATATATATACATATATCCCCATATTCTCTCCCTCTTGCATCTCCCTCCCATGCTCCCTATTCCACCCCTCTTAAAATCCTATACAAATATGTCATTTTTAATTCTGAACTACTTTTATGACTATCAAAAAAATATGATACCAACTTTCCTTCTCTGAATTTAAAATTTTGAGCATCTCTGAATATTATTTTATAATATTTGATTACCTTCACAGTACTGCATTAATTCATGCTGGACTACACATGGTTTAGTCTTACTGTTTTACCTACTTTTACCCTTGAATCACATGACACCAGTCTGGACACCACCCCTGAGCCTCAACCGTCAGCAGGTAGAGTGAAGAGTCCAGAAGGGCCGAAAGGAGTCAGGCAGAAGGGATACAAGGGGTCGAGGAAGGTATGGCATGGTGGCATAAGACAAAAAGGAGACAAGCAGGGATGGCAGCATGATATAATAAGTGGTAACTGGTGGCATACTTTAAATAAAGTGTGAGATTATAGTACTGAAGACAAAGGCCCACAAAAATTAAGACCAAAAACATGAATTAGAATCTAGGATTCCTAGGAATTCCCTGGTGGCCCAGTGGTTAGGACTCGGCGCTTTCACTGCCTTGGGCCTGGGTTCAATCCCTGGTCGGGAACTAAGATCCCGCAAGCTGCACAGCACAGTCAAAAAAAAAAAAAAAAAAAATCTAGGTTTTCTAACTCTGAGTTCAGAGATTTTTTTTTTGTCTTAAAACAGAGCTCCACTGTTTGCTGTTGCTACCATTATTATTAAAAAGAGGTAACATTTATTACGTTCTTAAAATGTATCAGGTATTATTATTTTATAATAGGGATACTCTATTAACCTGTGGAATGATATCAGCAAAGTGAATTTTAAGTTCTTTTTCTGTTTTCCTTTTGTTGATCTATATTTTATGAAATGTATACAGTAAATCTGTATTATCTTTTGTGATTTTCAAATATTTTCAATGTCTCTAAGTACATAAATATATTGCTATGATATTTAAACTGTCCTATGGAATTGAAAAAACACTGGAAAGCTTCATAAATTCATTTCATAAAGATGGTACAACCCTGATACCAAAACCCAAAGAAAGAAAATTACAAATCAATTATGGCCATATTACTGAAAATATTTCTAAAGCTTAAAGTTTGTCTATTTGTTAGCATATATTGCAAAGATGGTTGCAGAGATTTTCAACATATTTTTGCAGCACACTTGGAATGTTCCAATTTAAAATACAGATTACATGGAATGGAGTATGAAAATGAACTTTTTGTACTGTAAGGCCCCTCAGAAAGGTGGGCAGTCATCCTCCAGGATAGGTGAATCAGAAGTACATTAGTCAGGGCTCCCTGGAGAAATGGCTGGGAATGGTACAAGGAATATATAAAATGAGCTAGGAGCATTCTGTGGTGCCAAAAAATAAGGAAGTGTTTAAAAAACAAATGATGGGGCATGACAAAGGAGCAGAGGGGCCAGCTGAAAGAGTGCCCAACTACCAAGGATGAAACAATCTGAGCAACAAAATAAAGTATTATTGGACCATAATCCAAAGGATAAAGTAAAAATCCATGAATCCACACTGATACAAGTAAGTGACTGAGTAAATAAATGAATGGAGGAGAACAGACAAATACTGCACATAAAAGAACTCCAAATAATCTATATTTCTCCCTCGAGGCGGTGGAACATAACTTCCATAAGTGTGGGCTGTGTACAGTGACTTCCTTCTAAAGAGTACACCATGGAAAGGAAGGAAAAAAAGAGTAATTTTATAGTGGAGAAAACTGGCCAACACTATCTCAGCCAGGTGATCTAAGCTGCATCATCAGTGGTAAGTCATGTGAGGAGCCTATACCCTTGCTATGATGTGATGAGAACGGCACTTAACTTCTGAGGTTTTCCTCCCCAAAACACCTAACAATCTAACCATGAGAAAAACATCAAACAAATCGAAACTGAAGGACATTCTGCAAAATACGTAACTGGTACTTCTCGAAACTGTCAAAGTCATCGAAAACAAGGAAATTCTGAGAAACAATCACAGCCAAGAAGAGCCTAAAGAGACACAATGACTAAGTGTAATGCGGTACCCTGGATGGGATTCTGAACAAAAAAAGGACATTAGGTAAAAACTAAGGAAATCTGAATAAAGTATGAACTTTAATTAATAATGTATCAATATTGATTCATTCATTAGTTATAACAAATGTACCACAGTACCATAAGATGTTAACAGGAGAAATTTGGTGTGAATATGGCAAACTCTGTACTATCCTTGAAGCTTCTCTGTAAATCTAAAACTATTTTAAAAGTAAAAGTTTAATTTAAAAAAAGGTTCATGGGGTAAAACTGCACATAACTGCTGTGTGAAAAAAGACACGTGATGTGCATCACTACTCCGTTAACAAAGGTTTCCAATACTAACTTAGGAGTTAGTTACTAGGGCACATGTGCAATGGCATGTGGCATGTTCCTGGTAAGTGAGAGGAGGGATTTGATATTTCTCCAAAGCAACATGAGATTAAGACAAATAATCCTAAATAAAACATTATCACAGCAAATCAGTCAGTGGTAAAGTAAAAGAATAATGTACCATAAACTGATCAGGGCTCAGAAATGGTTCAGTAATTGAAAATTAATTAATATAATTCATTTCTTTAAAAATTCAAAGGAGATCATTTCAAAAATGCTAGTAAACTAGGAACAGTATACATCGTTAACATAGTAGGGATTATTATCTCTAAACTGAAATCCAATCTCAGAGGCTAAATACTAGAGGCATACCCATTAAAGTAGAGAACAGCACAAGGGACTACATAAACATTTTAGAAACTCTGTCTAACGCAAAAGACAAAAAGAAAAAACAAGCTATAGATATTTTAAAAGGAGAACTAAAACTACCATTAATTATCATTTATTTCTTAAGAAATCACCCAAAGAATCAACCAAAAAGTCCTAGCACCCCAATTTTGGTCTCCAAACATCAATGTTCACTAAAAGGTATCAGAGCTCCTGGAGAAATAGCTAATTCCAGGTCTGGGATAAGGAATATTCTATATAGTAAGCCTGGTCCACCTTGTGCCAGAAGGCAAGGAAATTTTCCAATGCTAATGGGCTTGTAATAAAAGGACATAGGAATCAGTTTAGAAGAGATCCTACTGGCCAAAGTTAGGACCTACTTTGAACATCAAAAAGAATATGACTTTACTTGATCAAAATTTGCTGAATATACCCATCTACACATTACCTGTTCAAGGGAAAAGCAAAAAATGACAACCCATAACCTCACAATGGAAAGATTGGGTTGTCAGCCTCTTAACCAAGAGATCAATCTCAGCATACTAAGAATGAGGCAACCACACTTTACGTGCCCTCTCATGTAATGCAATATAAAATACATAGCAACATCTATCAAGTATTCTTGTCAAAATAGTTTACTATAATCTAATCAGTCCCTTAAATCTAACTTCCACTTTATAGGAAACACAGGAGATAGAGACATAAGGTAAATGACACCAGGATGCATGGAGACAAATTCAGAAGGTAGGAAGCGCTGCAAGGATAAAATTTCTGTCTCTTTACCATGTCTGTGTCATGATGGGGGTTGCAGCTTGGGGGAGCAGGAAGAGGAGGGGTGAGGTCCTTTGCTGTTCTAGATTTTAAAAGATCTAAGTGACACTTTAAGCAAATGTAACAGTGCTTGACTGGATCCTGGTTTAAACAAAAAAGCTATTTAAACATTTTGGTGAGACAACTGGGGAAATCTGAGCATGGAGTACACATTTTAGATGGTATTAAAAAATTACTGAAAATTTTATTAGCTGTATTAATTATACTGGAATTATACAGGACATTTTCATTAATTTTTAGAGATAACACACTAACATATTTTAGTATGAAAAGTCAGATATTAGTAATTTTAAAGTAAACACTTAAACCAAAAACACACAAATAAATACACAGGAGTATCTGTGTAAGTGTATCAAGCACTCAATATTTTAAACTCATCAAAATATTAATTATTATTGATACAACCACGTGCCATGTGTATGGGTATTTATTATACTACTCTCTATATACATTTGGAATTTTTGATAAGAAAGGTTAAAAAACAGAATTTGGTAAAGTAGCCAAGTAAAAAATTAAAAAATAACTACACCATTTTTGACAAGGGTGTCAAAACAATTCAATGGGGGGAAAATAGTCTTTTCAACAAATAGTGCTGAGACAGATGAATATCCACATGCAAAATAAAGTTGGTTCCCTACCTTACACCATATATAAAAATTAACTGAAAATGAATCACAGACCTAAATGTAAGAGACAAAACTCTCAGAAGAAAACATAGGAATAAATCTTCATGACCTCGAATTAGACAATGTTTTCTTACATATGGCACCAAAAGCACAAGAAACAAAGAAAAAAAATGCATAAATCGGACTTCACCAAAATTAAAATTTTTGTGCTTAAAAGAACACCATCAAGAAAGTGAGATGATCAATGCATGGAATGGGAGAAAATATTTGCAAGTCATATATCTGATAAGCAACTGGTATGAAGAATAAATAAAAAACACAACTGAAAAACAAAAAGTCAAATTACTCAAAAGATGGGCAAAGAATTTAAAGACATTTCCCCAAATAAGATATACAAATGGTCAATAAGCACATGAAAAATTGCTCAACATCATTAGTCATCAGGGAAATGTAAACCAAAACCATAAAGAGATACTTCACACCCATTAGAACGGTGAAAACTATAAAGACCAACAACAATCATTAGGGAGGATGTGGAGAAATTGAAACCCTCAAACACTGCTTATGAAACAGTGCAGTCACTTTGTAAAACAGCTTGGTAGTTCCTCAAAATGTTACACATGGAGTTACCATACGACCCAACAATTCTACTTCTAGGTATATAGCCAACAGAACTAAAAACCTATGTCCACACAAAAACCCGTACACAAAGGTTCACAGCAGCATTATTCATAACAACCAAAAAGTGGAAACAACTCAGATGTCTACTGACTGATAAGTGGATAAATAAAACATGGTATATCCATAAAATCAAACATTATCTGGCAATAAAAAAAATGAAGAACTGATACATGCTATAACAGATGAAACTCTGAAAGCATTATACTAAGCCAAAGTATACATACTGTATGATTCATTTATAGGAAATATCAATAGGTAAAGTAGATTAGTTGTTGACAGGAGCTTGGGGGTAGTGAAGAGCAGGGTAGAATGGGGATTGACTGATAATGGGTATGGGATCTCTTTTTATGGTGATGAAAATTTCTGGAGTCAGGCAGTGGTGATGGTTGCACAACTCTGATATACTAAAAACTACTGAGTTGTAAACTTTAAAAGGATGAATTCTACAGTATGTGAATTATATCTCAATAAAGCTGTTACTAAAAAGGAAAAAGAAGTATATAAGAAATCAATATACCATCAAAATGGGCAAAGGAGAAAAAAAATAAGCACTTTACAAAGGAATACATTCTCACCTTCATTTGAATTCAAAGGCATACATATTTTAAACATAAGATATATTTTACCTATCAAGCTGATAGGTAATAATAATATCTAGGCTGGTGAGAGTACAGGAAAACACGCTTTCTCACAATCTGCTGGTGTTGCATTTGTTACATTGCCTGCAGGAATTTTATAATATATAATCAAAAACCTTTCACAATATATATCAAAAATCTTCAAAAGATCTATATCCTTTGACCTAACTTCTCATTTTAGTAAGTTATCCTAGGAACATAATCAGGATATATACAAATATTAATCTCAAGAATATTATATTTTTCTAATAAAGAAAACTGTTAGAAAGCCTAAATGTCCCATGATATGGGTAATTTAAATAAATTATGGTAGATCTACGCTATAGAATTACTTGTCTCTCCCACTTCAGTCTCAGAAAAGGACTGTCTGAATTGATCAGTGTTGCACCCCTAGCCTCAAACATTGTCTTCGCAAATTAACAGACCCTCATTTACACACTATTCATTAAATAGTGTTTAATAACACTATTAACATTAAACAGTGTTTAATAACATTGAAAATTTTAAATCCACATTGTCAAACAAAATTTGAGCAACTAATCAAATATAGTATCATCCCATTAATATACACAAAGGCTGACTGTCTATATACTAAAATGAGCTCCTGTAGTCAACAGTGGTTATTTGAGTGATGGAATTACAGGCAATTTTATTTATTTATTTATTAGCTGTTGGGGGTAGGAGTTTATTAATTAATTTATTTATTTTTGGCTGTGTTGGGTCTTCGTTTCTGTGTGAGGGCTTTCTCTAGTTGTGGCAAGCGGGGGCCACTCTTCATCGCAGTGCGCGGGCCTCTCACTATCACGGCCTCTCTTGTTGCGGAGCACAGGCTCCAGACGCGGAGGCTCAGTAGTTGTGGCTCACAGGCCTAGTTGCTCCGCGGCATGTGGGATCCTCCCAGACCAGGGCTCGAACCCGTGTCCCCTGAATTAGCAGGCAGATTCTCAATGACTGCGCCACCAGGGAAGCCCCAATTTTATTTTATACTTAAGAAAACTTTTATATTCTCCAAATTTCTATGATAAATATGTGTCAGTTTTATAATCACGCATACAAAATACTATTATAAAATAATATGTTCCAATAATTCTTATTTTTAAAAAATTAACTCTTACCCTTAATGTCACTACTCGTGCTTTGGGGTTTCGAACAGATGGTCCCGCTGATACATAACCAGCTGTGTCAATTTCAATTGGAAAATGCTTCCTGCACTTCTCATCACTGTCTAATGCAGCTGGCCACTCGGTGCAAAAATCTGAGAATTAAAAAAAATTATCTCATTTATAGTTTTGTAAGTAAATTCTCCTTATAATGTATGCTAACCGACAAAATCAAATTATTGAGGGAGATCACCTTTCAAGATTCATGAAATGAAACATGAAATGAAAGAACAGATTCTCTTCTGCACTTATATATACATCATCATCCTGCATGTGTCCCTTTTCTTCCTAAGTGAATCCTATTTAGGGAATTAAGGGAATGATTTGGATAGTTCAGGTTTGGTGGGGAGCAGTTAAAAGGGAGCTATAGACTTGATGGAAGTTTATTATAGCTTTGCACGTATCTGTTATGAGAGTTTATTTCCTCGCCAACTAAAAGCAAGCAGTTCATAGTGCCCTGAGAATTACTGTTTTTGAAAAGGCAATAGATAATATTAGTTCACACCCAAATGAAGGTTACTAAAAATCAGCTGAAGGGAAGTGAAAGAACCTCTGAAAAAACTCTAAGAGGGAACTGCCTGGAGGTCCAGTGGTTAGGACTCGGCGTTTTCCCTGCTGTGGCCTGGGTTCAATCCCTGGTCAGGGAACTAAGATCCAGCAAGCCTCACGGCACAGCCAAAAACAAAAAAAAAAGCTCTACTGAGATGTGGTCAACCTTCTTTCAGAAACTGAGTTCAATAGGGCCTCTAACTATAACAGGTACAAAAGCCTCGATCACCTTTAAATGATCCTTCCAGTAATTCATGTTTCTTCGATGTGACTTCTGAGCCACTGGGGCTCAGTGGAAAAAGGAACAGACTTGTCCTCACCTTCAGGCAAGACAGATAGCCTAGAGAGGAGTGGGTCTGGGTCTGAGACCTGGGCTACAACTGAAGTTCCAAGCACTGAGAACACTGCTCACAGCACAGAGGTGTAAACTCAGGCCTCAAATGAAAAAAAAAAATCTTTAAAGGAAAAGAGAGAACTCCCAGCCTCCCGCAGCTATCAGTACTACTAGTATTGAGGGACTTCATAGGTGGTCAGCTGATTTTATTTTGCCCTATTCCTATCAAGTTAGTGTGGTACAGGGCTCTCAGCTTGGGATGAAAACTTCTGGCATTATCAGGTTCCCCTCAATAGAAACCTCATTTCCTAAATAGCCTCATTCTAAGAAAAAGTAATTGGTTTCTTAGGTCAAACACATTAGACCCCATGGATCCGTGCTTTCTCCAATAACATTTTCCCTCAGCTAACAACTTTCTTATAATAAGCACTATATTTAGCTCCCATTTAGGCTTTAATATCAGTCAGCAAAAATGTCACTCTGGATTACAGAGACTTTCCAAGATCTGGGACTAAATATGTGTTAGCAAATTAAGTATAGCTCACACTATTCCCTAAAAACTGTGTTTAAGAGATCAATACTCACACACTTTGAGGGGAAAGAAATATCTTTGCCATTAAGAACATTTTGACATTTAAATAAAATGAACAGAGCAAAATTACTGGGGTTAAATTTCATTCCCATTATGAACTAATTTCAGTTTCCTGTACTATAAGATGCAACACTGCCAGGCACTTTATAAGACAGACTAGTTTGGGGAATTTTATGAGTTACTGGATTTGTACTGACTTTTTTTTTTTTTTAAACTTTGGGTAAGTCATTTCAATCACCAGATGATAATTACAGCTTTTAAATTAAATTACCTGATTATATGTTCAAGAAAACACAGCCAACTGAAAAGTACATAATAGACCCCTATTAGCCTTTTATTCATCTGATAGGTAGAGCAACAGACTAGACTTTAGAAGACCTTGGTTTTTACTTAACTTCTGCCACGATTATTAAAGTTTTGGTAAATTACCTAACTCTCCTGTGCTTCAAATTTTCCATTTGCAAGTTAGATACAAAATCTGAACTGACCTACTTGAAAGAAAACTCAAAAGAAATATTTGAAAAGCCTTTGAGTTATTTGGAAGATACAATCTAAATCTAGAAGCTGGCAAAAGTGTAAAGGCAAAATTAAGGAAAGATTAAAACATTCACTTAAATACTGTAAAATATAATGCTACTCTTCTAAATATGCTGTATGAAAGCCTTTCATTTGAAAATTATTAAGTATTTTAGAACTACCTCATTACAATGACCAGTTTCTAAATTATAAATGCACATTTTAAAATATTGTTTAAAAAGGAAAAATACTGAATTTATCACAGGGTAATGCATTTGGTAACTGGCTTTACAAAGGACCAAAAAATGATATATGATTTGCGTCATATGGGGCACAAATGTGCAACGGTGATCTGTGTCAGTCTAATATCAGGCTAATATCAACAAATATAGAAACATACAAAGGGACAGAAATGCATCATAATGTCCCAAAACAAAAGACCACATAAATGAATGAAAATAGTAAGAGATTTTTCTTCCCTCATTTCAAGAGTAAGGTTATTATTCTTACTTTTTAGCCCTCTTTTTAAAACCTCTTTATTTTCTCTTCTTCCTTATAATTTTCAGTGGAAGGCCCTCCCAGAAGCTCAAATTTCATCATAATCATGTTCACTAACTTATTTCTCCTTTTAGCATAATCAGGCTACCTGTGAAGTTTCCAGGTTTCATTTTCTTTCCTGAAAAGACTTAACAAGTATACTGAGCATGTATATACATCACCTTTAAATCAGCATAAATTTAAGACTTCAAAGGTACTAACTCTTGCATTAAACTACATAATCAATAAGTAATAGCTACAAACCTAAAACAACTCAAATTTGCTTACCTATATATAGTCCAATACAACTAGAACAGAAATTGAATTGGAATATTGTATATATTATGAACCATGAACAAAAAGTGCTCTTTGCCTTTACCTCCATTTATGTGGGAAGAAGAAAGATGGTATAGTACAGGTGAGTAAAATCTCTATTTACAACTAGCAATCAACAGATATTGTTGAAATTTAACAAGTCTAGAAATGGAGGTATAATCATATTCAGGTGATTAGTTCCATTTTATATATATCAAACTATACATATAATTTACATTTACATATACTATGTATAGAGTGTATATATATTCTTTATTTATGTGTTTAAAGAATATATAAAATTATACGTGCGCGCGCACACACACACACACACACACACACACACACACACACACACACACAAATAATAAGACCTAAATAATGACTAAAAGAGAACACGTCTGGAATGAGGGGCCAGGGAGGGAAAGAAGCAAGAGACTATTACTTTTCATCATCAGCTCTTGTACTATTTAATTTTACCGCAGGTATATATCACTTCTAATTCCTTTAAAATTTTGAACAATTTCTTCAGGATAACCCTTTTCTGCAAAGTATCCCATTACTGGCCCCACTGACTATTCAGCTACTCAGCATCCTTCCACACTATCTTCAGTTTGGGCCATATTGATTTGCATCTGTTGTTAACACTCTACAACATTTTCTTCAGCCTTTTTATGTATATGATTTTTATAATTCAACAATAAGTCCCTAACCTACCTGAGCAAAGATTATGGTTTCTGATCCCCAGAACTTATTCAGCAGATAACTGCAAGTTTGTACTCTTTGAAGATCTCCCTTTTTCCTCCACTCCTCAGTCCCTGGTAACCACCACCCTAACCTGTTTCTATGACCTCAGATTTTTCAGATTTCAAATATGTGATAATTATATAGTATTTGTCATGCTGTCTGACATATTCCACTTAGCATAATGCCCTCAAGGTCCCTCCACATTGTCACAAATGGCAGGATGTCCTTCTTTCTCGTGACTGAATAATATTCCACTGTTCGTGCGTGCGTGTGTGTGCGCATGCGCGTGTGCCTGTGTGTGTATACACCACATCTTCTTTATCCATTCATCCATCCACCGATGAACACTTAGGTTGTTTCCATATCTTACACAGGCCTCTCACTGTTGTGGCCTCTCCTGTTGCGGAGCACAGGCTCCGGAAGCGCAGGCTCAGTGGCCACGGCTCACGGGCCCAGCCGCTCCACAGCACGTGGGATCTTCCCGGACCGGGGCACGAACCCTTGTCCCCTGCATCGGCAGGCAGACTCTCAGCCACTGTGCCACCAGGGAAGCCCTGTTTCCATATCTTGACTGTTGTGAATAATGCTGCAGTGAACATGGGAGTTGAGATATCTCTTCAATATTGTCTTCATTTCCTTTGGATACATACCAAGAAGTGGGATTGTTGGATCATACAGCAGCTCTATTTTTAATTTTTTGAGGACCCTTCATACTGTTCTCCACAGCGGCTGCACCAATTTGCATTCCTACCAACAGTGCACAAAGGTTCCCTTTTCTCCACGTCCCCATCAACACTTGTTATCTCATCTTCCTGAAGAGTCATTTTAACAGGTGCTGTGGTTTTGATTTTTTTTTTTTTTTTTGATTTTGATTTCCCTGATGATTAGTGAAGTTGAGAATCTTTTCATGTACTCACCGGCCATTTGTATGTCTTCTTTGGAAAAATGTCTATTTGATTCTTCTGCCCATTTTAAAATCAGATTGTTTTTTTACTATTGAGTTACATGAGTTCTTCATGTATTTTGGATATTAAGCCTTATCAGATATATGATTTGCAAATATTTTCTGCCATTCCACAGATTGCCTTTTTATTTCACTGATGGCTTCCTTTGCTGTGCAGAAGGTTTTTAGTTTGAGGTAGTCCCACTTGCTAGCTATTTTTGCTTTTGTTGCCTTTGCTTTAGGTGTCAAATTCCAAAAAATCATTGCCGAGACGAATGTCAAGGAGCTTACACCCAATGTTTTCCTCTAGGAGTTTTATAGTTTCAGGTCTTATGTTCAAGTTTTTAATTCATGTCAAGTTGATTTTTGTGTATAGTGTTAAAAATATGGTCCAGTTTCATTCTTCTACATGTGTCTGTCCAGTTTTCCCAACATTTATTGAAGAAACTATCCTTTCCTGCTTAAATATTTTTGGCTCTTTTGTCATAAATTAATTAACCAAATATACATGAGTTTATTTTGAAGCTCTCTGTTCTGTTCCATTGATCTATGCCTCTGTTTTCATGACAATAACATACTGTTTTGATTACTACTATCGCTTTGTAATACAGTTTGAAATCAGGATGTGTGATGCCTCCAGCTTTGTTCTTTCTCAATATTGTTTTGGCTATTTGAGGTCTTTTGTGGTTCTGTACAAATTTAAGGAGTTTGTTCCATTTGTGTGAAAAACACCACTGGAATTTTGACAGGGATTACACTGAATCTGTAGATTGCTTTGGGTTTTATGGACATTTTAACAATATTAATTCTTCCAATCCATATCTTATACTTACTTGTGTCTTCTTCAGTTCCTTTCATCAATATTTTACAGTTTTCAGTGTATAGATCTTTCACCCCTTGGTTAAAAGTATTCTCTTATTTTATTTTGCGTTCATGTATTTTGTTTTTCTTCCAGTTTTACTGAGATATAATCGGCATGCAGCACTGTATAAGTTTAAGGTCTAGGGCTTCCCTGGTGGCACAGTGGTTAAAAGTCCGCCTGCCGACGCAGGGGACGCGGGTTTGTGCCCCGGTCCGGGAAGATCCCACATGCCGCAGAGCAGCTGGGCCCATGAGCCATGACCGCTGAGCCTGCGCATCCGGAGCCTGTGCTCCGCAACGGGAGAGGCCACAACAGTGAGAGGTCTGCGTACCGCAAAAAAAATTTAAGGTCTACAGCATAATGATCTGACTTGCATACATCATGAAATGATCATCACAAGAAAGTCAGTGAATACCCATCATCTCATACAAATACAATATTAAATAAATTAAAAAAATTTGTTTTCCTCATTATAAGTACTCTTAGTATTTATTCTCTTAACTTTCATACAGAACATATAGCAGTGTTAATTATATTTATTATGTTGTACCTTATATCCCTAGTATTTAGTTACCTTATAACTGGAAGTCTGTACCTTTTGACTGCCTTCATTCAATTCCCCCTCCCCTGACCCAGTATTTTATTCTTTTTGATGCTATTGTAAATAAAAGTATTTTCTTAATTTCTCTTTTAAGAAAAAGAGAAATTTAATTTACAAATTTAAAAATTACATTAAAAGTTAAAATTAAATTACATTTAAATTTTAAAAATTAAATTTTAAATTAAATTACAAATTTAAAAAATCTCTCTTTCTGAACTCCCATGTTCACTGCAGAAAATGCAACTGATTTTTGATACCGACTTTGTATCCTGCAACTTTACTGAATTCGTTTATTAATTTTAATAATTTTTGGACCTTTCAGATTTTCTATGTATAAGATAATGTCCTCAGCAAGTAAAGACAATTTTACTTCTTCCTTTCCAACGTGAATGCCTTTTATTTCTTTTTCTTGCCTAACTGCTCTGGCTAGAACTTCCAGTACTATGTTGAATAAAAGTGGTGACAGTGGGCATCCCTGTCTTGTCCTGATCTTAGAGGAAAAGCCTTTAGCTTTTCATGGTTGTAATATGATATTAGTTGTGGACTTGTTATATGTGGCCTTTATTATGTTGAAGTTTGTTCCCTCTATATCCACTGTGTTGAGAGTTTTCTCATGAAAGGGTGCTAAATTCTATCAAATGCTTTTTCTGCATCTACTGAGATGATCATATGATTTTCATCCTTCATTTTGTTAATGTGATGTGTCATGTTGATTTACTTGCAGGTGTAGAACTACCTTGCATCCCTGGAATAAATCCTTCTTGATCATGGTGTATGATCCTTTTAATGTACTATTGAATTTGGTTTGCTAGTATTTTGTTGAGGATTTTTGATCTATGCTCATCAGGGATATTGGCCTGTAATTTGTCCTTATCTGGCTTTGGTATCAGGGTAATGCTAGATTTATAAAATGAGTGTGGGTGTTCCCTCCTCTTCTACTGTTTAAAAGAGTTTGAGAACGACTGGTAATTCTTTATATGTTTAGTAGAATTCACCAGTGAATTAGGAGTTTGGGATTAATATATACGCATGAATATATATAAAATAGATAACCAATAAGGACCTACTGTATAGCACAGGGTCCTATACTCAATATTTTGTAATAACCTATAAGGGAAAAGAATCTGAAAAAGAATATGTATATATTCTTAATATAGAATAAATGTATAAATGTATAACTGAATAACTTTGCTATATACCTGAAACTAACAAAGCACTGTAAATCAACTATGATTCAATTAAAAAAAAAAAAAAAAAGAATTCACCAGTGAAGCCATCTGGTCCTGGACTTTCCCTGGTGGGAGGTTTTTGATCAGTGATTCAATCTCCTTACTAGTAACTGGTCTGGTTCAGATTTTCTATTTCTTCATGATTCAGTCTTGGTATATTACATGTTTCTAGGAATGTATCCATTTCTTCTAGGTTGCCCCATTTGTTGGCATAAAAATGTTCACAGTAGTCTCTTAGATCCTTTGTACCAATATTTCTGTGATACCAGTTGTAATGTCTCCTATTTCATTTATAATTTTGAGGCCTCTCTTTTTCTTGGTGAGTCTAGTTAAAGGTTTGTCTACGTTGTTTACCTTTTCAAAAAACAAGCTCTCAGTTTCACTGATCTTTTCTATTGTCCTTTTAGTCTCAATTTATTTCCACTCCAACCATTATTTCCTTCCTTCTACTAACTTTGGGCTAAGTTTGTTCTTCTTTTTCTAGTTCCTTGGGATCTAAAGTTATGTGGTTTATTTAACATTTTTCTTTATTCTTAATGTAGGCATTTATTGCTATAAACTTCCCTCTTGGAACTGCTTTGGGGATATTCCATGTCTCAAGATATTTTTTTGATTTCTCTTTGATTGCTTCTTTAAATCAATATGCGTTTAGGGGCATGCTATTTGATCTCCACGTACCTGTTAATCTTCTAGTTTTCTTCTTGTAATAGATTTCTAGTTTCATATCATTGTGGTTGGAAAAAATGCTTGATATGATTTCAATCTTCTTAAGTTTATTAAGACTTATTTTGTGGCCTAACATATAATCTATCCTGAAAAATGTTTCATGTGTACTTGAGAAGAATGTGTATACTGCTGCTGTTGGATGGAATGTTCTGTAAATGTCTGTTAAATTCACTTGATCTAACATGTAAGTTTAAATCCAATGTTTCCTTACTGACTTTCTGTCTGGATGATCTACCCATTGTTGAAAGTGGAGTACTGAAGCTCCCTACTATTACTGTATTGCTATTTCTTCCTTCAATTCTGTAAATATTTTCTGTATATTAAGTGCTCCTACTTTGGGCACACAAATATTCACAAATATTATATCCTCTTGATAAACTGACCCCTTTATCATTAGAAATGAGATTCCTATGAAACTAATAAAATATTAAGTTCATATTACAAAACAACCACATACCTTTAAGAGCTTCACAGTGCCTTTTAATTGCTACAGGAGTCAAATGCAGAAAATTGGGAATCTAAAATAGAGAATTTTAAAGAATAAATTAGCTAAGTGTCTTTGTGTGTGTGTGTGTTTGGGGGGCTATGCCACACGGCTTGCAGAATCTTAGTTCCCCAACCAGGGATTGAACCTGGGCTCCAGCAGTGAAAGTGCCGAGTCCTAACCACTGGACAGCCAGGGAATTCCTGCCTAAGTGTCTTAAAAACATGAAACAGACAATTTTCTCATAAAACTAAATCATAAGGCCCACAAACCTTGTAATAAATAAAATCTGGTTTTCTTTTAAACAATACTGATTCCATGTCACAGGTGTTGTAAATTCAAGAAATGAATTTCCTAAAATAAAGATTCAGTACCAAGTATCTTATGAGAATGATGGTGGAGAAGAAACATTATTTTTATAGTATTATTCTTGCCACAAATCTACAGGAGTATATACTTCCCTTATAAAACTGAAAGCACTTTAGGACACAGACCATTGTTTAATAATCCTAATTCCCCTGGAATACATATCACTGAGATACATTTTCTACTTTATACTTAATAGACATTTTATGAATTGAATGGACGAATAAATGAAGCGAGCAGATCTTAAATGAACAGTTTAATGAAGTTGGGAATATCTTTATGATACACTGAGAGGTTCTCTAAACATTTATAGGGCCAATGGAAATTTAGGTAAGGTCAGAGATTTGATTCCTTCAAATAAGGAACATTTCCTAGTATATTTCTTAAATAATGTTAAGCATCTAAAGAGAAAATTTAGTTTAAAGAAACTCACTTGGAAAGAAACTTTGAACAAACAGAAAGTTACTCTAAACATTATGTCTGGAATCTTAAGTGCTAATCAGAAAATGATTATTTTAATCAAGAGAAAACAGGGAACAAATATTGGGATTATGAGGTGGGTGACTTCATTTTCTATACTTTTATTTTACTTGTTTACTTATTCTATACTTTTATTTTTGAAACATGATTCAAAATCGTAAAAGGAAAAAAATAATAGCTAATGCTTACACAGCATTTACACTGGCACTGTTCTATGAACACCATACATATTACCTCAGTTTACAGGCTTATTCAATGGCACTTACTAGGAACAGATCGTATCATCGGACTAAGCATTAAGGTGATTCTTTTTTTTTTTTTTTTTTAAACATCTTTATTGGGGTATAATTGCTTTACAATGGTGTGTTAGTTTCTGCTTTATAACAAAGTGAATCAGTTATACATATACATATGTTCCCATATGTCTTCCCTCTTGCGTCTCCCTCCCTCCCACTCTCCCTATCCCACCCCTCCAGGCTGTCACAAAGCACCGAGCTAATATCCCTGTGCCTTGCGGCTGCTTCCCCCTAGCTATCTACCTTACTACGTTTGTTAGTGTGTATATGTCCATGACTCTCTCTCGCCCTGTCAAAGCTCACCCCTCCCCCTCCCCTAAGGTGATTCTTAAAAGGGATGGCATGCATTAAATGTTTGGATTTTTATGTTTATTAAAATTCCATTCACAACCATCATTACAAATATATTGCTATTCTCTTTCACCAAGTGATATTTTCCACAGACCTTTTCTTTAAACTAAGTTCAATTCTTCTCTTCATTGACGAAAACATTAGTTTTATAGGCGTTTGTTTTCTTGTCTCTTGAAATGTTCCCATTTCCAAATTTCATCTGCCTATCTCCAGCAGCAAACAAACCCCTCTTCATATTACGATCTCATTTTTTACCAGCAACTTTTAGCAAATTTTTGTTTTTCACGAAGACTCTTATTTAGCAGAAAATACAATTCCTTGATGATAATTTCACTGTATATAAAAGGAAACCATCTAAGATATGCATCCCCAGGCTATGCATATTTGTATTTTCTTTAAGAAGTCTGTTTTTCAGAAATCATTATAGATGCTATCAACTCATTACAGATGCTATCAACTGAAGCATTTAACATGACCTATTTTTCTTGAAGAAACAAAGAAGTTTAAGGACTATAACAATACTACTAAATAATTTTCTGTAGAAGTTTTAGATCTCTTTTTCAAAAGTAAAAACTTCTCCCAGTTCTCAAACTCAAATTAGGTTATTTCACTTTTCTTAGTTCTGCTTAAAAGACACAATATAGAAAAGATACAATAGAAACGAAAAAGCCAAAAGGAAGCCATAGGACCAATCAATTACATTCTTAAATGCCTAGGGTTCTTTGAGCCTTCTTTGCTGAGGATAACCAAAACATAATATCCATTATTATCTGGAAAAAGATTGAATTAAAATACAGTAAGCTGCTATGCACTGAACCTTGAAGTGTTGGGGGAGACGGTAGGTGTCAGAGGGAGATCAGCATTTATTTAGATATAAGTTTTAGTCAATGAACCAGAAACTTATCTTACCTTTAAAAGTTCCAGATTTCCCTCCTTAGCCATGGGCACCCCTCTTTTTACTGGATAACCCATTCGAACAGGGAGAGGTACTGCTGAGGGTTTAAATGGCGCTGCAACAGGGTAAACACTAGGCCAGTCCTGGTCAACAGCCATTTTCTCTGTCCTAGGAGGTAGTGCCTGAGGAATGTAAAATAGTTTAATATTTTAAATATAAACATATTCTTTAATTTTAAAGCAAAAAAGCTGCAATTAAGAGAAACATAAGAGGACTTACAACCTACATAAAATCTGACCTCCCACAGCTAATGTCGCTGAAATGAAAAAACACTAAACATACCTAAATATCTCTGGCACAGTTTCCTTAAACCCAGTAGCAAGGATCCCCTTTAACAGCACATTTCCTTCGCAAAAAAATTTCTCTATCTTATTTATTTACTTAGACTTTTAGCAAACTTTCTACATATTGCTTATGAAGGGGTAAGTAATGATATATTTTGAATAAGTTTTAAAACTTTGATGAAAGTCAGTACATGAGGTGACAGTGATACAAACTTGGAAATAAAGGAAGTAAGAAAAAGGAACATAAAGAATAAGAATTCAGAAATAAATAAATTAGGATTAAACTAAATGAATAGATACATAATGAGAAATAATATGTTTCCTAGGCCCAGAGAATAACTACATGATATTTTAGTCAATCACATTAACATATTTATTTTTTAAACTGTATTTGATAGACAGAGATGCCCAGCATTCCCTTTAAACCCAAAACGAAGGTTTGAAGAGGCAAAACTAGGCAACACCCATCTAAGTAATATACATGTAGTATATGTCCTGGAAGCAGTTAATATTCCTGTGAAAATGACTACTCTATACAATTATAATTGGTGCCATTTAACTTCCAACTAATGTGCCTTTGTTCTGACTCCATGCTTCCTAAGTGACCGTATAATTTGGATTCCTCCATAGAGATACCTACAGGGTGAGACCAAACTGGTTAGATTAATGCATACGTCCCAGGCTGCATGACTGTTCAAGGCATCATCAAAAATAGTTCTTTATTCTGGTTTATATACCTATTTCCTGGCAGTGTGTGAGTGAGTCCACCTCTCAAAGATGATCCATCTCAGGGAACTGACAAAAAGCAGTGGAAGACTAGAGCCAGGGCTGTGGTAGTCACCCAGTCAACAGCCCCTTGAGAAGAAGCCTTCTCGTGCAGTGCCCTTCTGCCTCATAATGAGTATCTGCCTCACTTCAGAATTTCAGAAACCAGTAAGACAGTCTATACCAGAGTACATTAGCTGCTTACCTTTCTTCTTAGTGGCCTTCCATATCTGGATGTTCTTTCTGTTGTAGCTAAAAGACAACACAACAGTTACAGAGAATTTTATAACACAGAGCTGTTCAACATTGTTCATGATCCCACAATTCTCACATAATTTAAAGTATTCAGTAATATAAAAATGAAACAATAATCCATTTTCTGTAAGTTCAGGGACTAAATCATTTTAATGAAAATGAAAATTCAGAAATAGGTAAGAAAATCCAGGAGTTACTTGAATATAAAATATATTGTGATTGACGATATGGTGAACTCATCAACTAGAGCAATATCTTCAGTAACTTTTAAGGTTCATCATCAAATAAGCTTACTTTCCCAAGATAAAATATCTAATTAGAAATAAGTATTTTACATCTTTAAAAGTAACTGGCTTGAAATATTCTAATATATACTTGCTCATATTTGGAATTATTCTGTTCTTTACACACACACAGACACAAAACAACCTTCAGTTTTCCTTCTCTACTGTTTATTAGCACTGCCAATGCTACAATAATGCCAATAATAACAAAACTCATAGTTATTCCTAATAAATCACCTAACTGTACAAGAGGGTAAGTTACTTACATACAGTATCTACCTTTTAAAATATTAACTTATGTCTCTCTAAATTAATGTTTTGCTCTACTAAAATAATATATAATAACTGTATTTATTCAGCACTTTCACATGTCCAGACACTGTGCTAAATGCTTTTCATTATCTCATTTAATCTTATTCTTCACAATAACTGTAAGTACTATTATTATCCTTATTTAGAGGTCTTTTAGCCAAGAAAACTAAAGACCAAGTAGTCAGGGTGATGACAGCACAGCACAACAAGACCTCACATTCTGAACCACTAACTCAAGCTTCACAAGCTCCATAACTACACCGAACTTCCAGCACCAGGTCCCTGAGTTTTTCTCTGAACTTTCTGTTCTGTCTGTCTACAATGTGCCTCCCTTTCATCTGCCTGCCTTCTATCTCCTACTCCCTCTCCACTTCATCTCTTCATCTGACAAATTCTTATTCATCCCTCAATAGTAATTCATTGATTTATTCAAAAACTGTTTGAGTGATATTGTGTACCAGCAACTCAGAAGGCAGCAATGAACAACAGAGACACAGTCCTTGCTCTCACTGAATGCAGAGTCTGTCAAATAAGATAACTATTTAGCAAGTAATTTCAATAAACAGTTATAAATATTAATGAAGCACACAGCAGGGGACCCAACCTAGTCAATTAGTTGGGGAAAATATCCCTGAAGAAGTGGACTT